ATTATAACAAGAGATCACACACTTGTTTATACAGACCATTAAATTAGCTGTAGCAATTTAATGTTGTAAAAGGGACACATCAAGAGCAGAGAATGATGTGAAGATCTGACTCATGCGGGATTATAGATCCCGCCCAGCCCTCGTACTCAAAGTTGATTAATGCTTTACCTTCTAATTGCTTGTTGTACCTGATCTCAGAATGCCACCTAGCCCCTCCTCTAGCTGGGGTACAGGCAGAGTTACCCCAACCGGAATGCTACATATAAGCAGTTTCCCATGCAACAAAATTTCTCACACCAGACCATGGATCTTACCTTGCACAAAATTCCAAAAGAAATTGCACCACAAGGCAGGATCAGACCCGACCACTGCTGCCACCACTGTCCCACCAGCCAGCATCTGCCTGGGTCCTGCGCAGCCTTTCCTGCCTTACAGGCACCTTTGAACTAACACTAATTCCCAAAAGAGAAGCTATAGACTGATGTGGTGTTCATCTAAATCAAGCAGAGAGATTATCACTCACAAATGGTTGTCACACACACCCCACAGAGGTGATTGCTTTATCCAATTTGCCCTATAATTAGACAAAAGTTGTTCTTTAATTTGTCAGGTTGACTTTAAATGCAATTTTGTCAGGATATCGGTCTGTGACTTTCAACAGGACCACAAGAGAAGAGCAACACCAAATTAGGACAATAATCAAAGGTTTAGCCAGAGCATCGCCTCGGCCCAGCATCCCAGCCTACGGATGTTTTTACAGGAATATTCTGCAAACTCAGACAAACCAAGCCTTATGCTTAGTCTGGAAGTTTCCTTTCCATTAATCAAGACAGCCTGACTAGCTAGACAAAATCTGAAAAAATATATCCAGATATCTCACTGTTGCAAAAAGAAGAGAGTTTGGGCCTGTTCTTTTGTTAGGTTTGCAGGAAAATCCTTAGGTCGGCTCAGGTAACCAGGCCTGCAGAAGACCCTGCAGTTATTTTCCTCCTGCACTTAAAGTTAAAATATACTTATCCAAAATAAGACTACAAGAAAGAAAGTGAAATTTCAGACCTTGCCTGTGAGACGGAAGAAAACCTACCATCTGCAGAAGACAGGTGCAGACTACGTAGTGGAGTTAATAAAAGCATCATTGTGGCACTTTGACATGACTTAGCAAATATTTGACATTCAAACTTGCATACAAATACCCAGCGCACACATTGACTATGACACAAATGCAGACTGCTAACAAATGAAGGTCTTTATTTTTAGAACATTCATCCCTTTCTGCCCTCGGAGAGTTGCCTTAATCCCTAATGAGCAGCCTCACAGCCCGGTGGTTTGCCTTCCAGGATAGATGAAGCCTACACACGTGAGTGAAATAACCAGCAGAAGACGAGGGGCAGGGGCACTGCAGAAATCTCCACTGCAGAAACCACCGGCAGCAGCAATGCAGGGGCAACGTGCAGCGACGGGCTCAGGCTGCAGAACGGTGCTCCCTGGCGAGAAAGCAACTGCTACAGAAGTCACCTCAGCTCCTGCCCGAATTCAACATCCATGTGTTGAAAACAAGTTGTAGGCAAAAGCAAGGTGCAGGAGCTAGCAGAAGGAAATGGGGTGGAAATGCACCTGGACAGCGAAACCTGCCCTGGTGTGCAATCCAGCCACCCACTGACCCGAGCTGGAAAGAAAACTTGCCTCTTGGCAAGTATTTCTGCAGCAGGGTGTGACAGAGCCTAAAGACTCATGAAATATTCAGACTATGGTTTTGACTTTATAAATGTTACGATAGCCTTTATGGCAGGTAAGTGATTTTATTCCTGTCTCAAGGGGGGTATCTTCTGGATACTTCCTGCAGCAGCGAAAGCCAGTACTCAAATCCCCAGTAATAATTAACACAAATCTCCAGTGGTGAAACAAGGAAGGGAACAGATCTTCCAGAGCACCAACCCCTGGGGAGACAAGGAAACAAAATCCCTTATTTTTATATAGCTTATACAAGTAACAACTTTGGTATAATTTTTACCATGATAAGCACAAGACACACAGAAGCCTGAGGTTCAAGCAGGTTTGGCGCGAGGGGATGGCAACCCCAAGGAAAGTGCTGGCTAGGCCTAGCTTATCCGTGTTACTCATCTTTTATCATATACACCTGTTTTTAAGGCATTGGGAGGCTTTTCAGCTCCTTTGCTCAGGGCAGAAGGGCCTCCACAGCCCTAGGGCCATCCTGCAGCAGGGGCTGCACTGGTAAATGCGAGAGATGAGGGCAGGGGGATGCATGTCTCAGCCCAGCCAAGCAAACCCCCCCAATTCACAACAGGGCTCTGCAGCCGTGGCACTGACACGGCTCCTGCAGAGAGAGGCAAACACAGGGGAGGGGGAGAGACCAAACCCGGCACATCAGCACCTGCCTCCTGGCGCACCGCACACTGCTGGCAAGGTGGTTAGATGCTTTTTTAAGTGTATTTATTTGACCACATGAAGTCTCTCCCTTTCAAACCCTGGCTGCTCCAGCTGGTCTAGTAGAAAAGTTAACTTTTCGTTTCCCTTTTTTTTTTTTCCCTCTCTTTGCAGGCAGCTCAGGGAGAAACAGCAGGTGAAGGGAAAGAGCCTTCCCTCTTTTAGCAGCAATGCATGATAAATCAAACCACAGCCTCCTTTAGATTAAATGCTGTCCTACTTCTCACGAAAGAGTTATTAATCCTGAATTCAATCAGGAGGCAGTTCTGACCATCCTCCTTGGTGAGGTTCCTCCCTCTGGAAACACCAGCCCTTGAAACAAACACCAGCAAGGGCTTGGTGGGGCCCCTGCAGCCCTGTCTTGTCTTAAGGCAAACAACACTTGATTATCAGCAAATCTGTAATTCGTCATAAGGCGAATCATTCTCCATTTGATAAGATAGTGTGTGTCAAAAAACAAGCTTGAAGCATTCATATATACACTGAACCTTCATCTTATATAAATTGGCAACTGCATCTAATGCAACCATCAGTGGGACGGAGTGAAGCAAGACAGTAACAGATCATTGGGGTGATTATTAGACTGGAGAAAAGTTACTTGTAAACTCCTCTTTGAAAAATACCCTGACAACAGCTAAAGCTGTTGTGTGGAGCAAGTGGTCTGATAACTGAGAATGGTTTTGCAGGTATTTTTACAGAATTGGTGTAAGTGATAGCCAGCCGCTGCTCTATGACTGGCAAAAACTTGCCATTTCAAGCACCATCCACTCAGGCACCAGGTATTTTGCTAAGCTAAGCTACATGCACAGACACAACATGGGCTCCCGTAGTATTCCAGGACCAATGGGACCTCTGCTTCGAGCTAGAAAGGGGCACAACTATTTGTAAGTTCAAAGCAAAGCCTCTGCATAAGTATTTTTTAAGATCAAAGCACCAGTTCCGCAGTCAACATCCATAAAAATAGCAGCACAAGAAAGAGGCACTGTTCTTGCCGTGTGAGCTGGGAACGAAAGCGTCACATCCTGACTGCCCCTTTGCCACCTGCGCAGCTTTGTTTGTGTAAGCGCCTTTTAAAGATACTAACTGAGGAAAGAGCATTTTTAAAGCATCATTAAAATGTGCTCAAATATTAAATGAGCAACTTTAATAACAGCAGTTACATCTGGCCCTTGAAACAGTTTGCATTCCTTTATGGCCTTCTGTGGTTCAGAAGACATTAGCCGGGGCCAGAACAGCCCCAGTGTGCTGGAGGTGACCCCAGCTCCCACAGCCACATGCTCGGGACGAGCCACCCCTCTCTGCAGGGAAGTCCCCCCTGATCCAGAGGCTTCAGGCAGAGACAGACCGGGGAGTACAGCCATGACCGGCTCTGCAGGCAAAGCTGTGGTGACAGTCACCTCTGGCAGGGCGAAGCGATGAGCTGAACAAACCACTGCACAGCTGCAGAGAACATGCAAACTTCAGCTCACCTGCAAAGGCACATCTTTAAGAGAGTTTGTTGTACAGAAAAGTAAGCCATTTACCAGCACCAGCTCTTTGTCTCACAGTTCCCACCTGGTTGTAGAAAGCGGTTCTACTTGTAAATGTGAGAACAACCATCCCGTGGCCAGCTCCAGCCTCTGGACTCACTGCGGTACCTGCTGCCTTTGGGGTGTGTTTGCATGTGGCTTCTTCTGCAATGTGAGCACAGCCACAAGCCAAACAGAGCTCGGTGCCTACAGCCAAACAGGCTGTGGTCAAACCCTCAGAGCTCCGCTTCAGCAGCCACATCCCCATGCTGCCCCTGGCCATTTGCTCTCACCTCTGTGGCACGGAGGGTCACTGGCAAAATAAACTTATTTTTCAGCTGATGACTCCCTCAGCCCAGCTCATCCCTCTGCCATGGAAGGGGACATGTCCCCAAAGGGGCCGGCAGGGATTGGGGCAGGGCCCCGGGTAGATCAGTACCATGGCTGAGGACAGGCACACCACGCTACACCCATGGGCTCCCACGCTCTTTGGGGATGGTCCCTCCAAATGACACTCGAGTGACTTTAGCCAACCTTCGGCTGTGGGAGCTGCCCGCTGCCGAACAGGGCAAGGACCTGGCACCAGCGACAGCCCTGGTCCCACCCGCACTTGGACTGCATTTGCAACACCCTCATTTTCAAACCTGAGAGGCTGAACTTAAGGATTTTTGCCCTGAAAGGCAATGGGAGTTTCTCTGTAGCTCCTGCCACACATATAAGTTGCGGCATGTCCCAGTGCTCAGGTGTGCCTGGTTTAGGCAGTTTTTACAGGAAAGCTTTGTACAGCAGCTGCTTCGATGCCCCTTCAACAGCTCAGGGCAGAGCAGGACATCCAGCCCTCCCCAGCGCTGCAGAAATTCGGATCTAGGCTGGCAGCACATCCAAACTGTGTGCACGAGCCCACATGGCAATGCCTGGAGCTCCCCTGCTCCGGTGAAAAGCGCAGATGTTTCGCTGAGCCTGTCACACTGCGCTCAGAGCCAGCACACCCTGTAAGATTCATCTGATGTGTCCATTTAAACGGGATGCTGGCTCGTGCCCATGTACCCGGCAAGGAATTTGCTCATTCTCCATGAGCTGTTCATTTTGCCGCAGTACCAGTGCGAGGTTTTGGGTGCAGACCCAACACTGGCAAAACTCATTTTGGAGAGGTCACCAGGAGCAATCCGGGGATCCCTCATCTCAAGCAGCGCTACCCCGCTGGCCTCAAAGCTGAAGCCACTGCCCAGCAGCAAAACCCATAATCTTAAATGAAAGAACACAAGACAAAACCCAACCTTTCTTAATACCAGTCATTTATCACTTAATTAGTGTCACATAATAACAGTGTTGAAGGCTGAGAAATGGGATCAGCCTGTCAAGACCAGGTCTCTGTGACTGCTTTGCTTAGTGAATGAGATTGTACCTGGTATCCTGCTGCCCGAGGGGAAAACAGCGAACAAACCGTTTCTGTTACTTTTATTTCTGACTTATACCGCAAAGTTAAGTTCTTAAGTAGCTCTTTGGTAGCGATCATGCTTTTTTGTATCGGGAGCAGAATAAACGAAGGAAACCTAAGCCTCACGGTTAGCAGCGTCACGTAGTATTTCCCGGGATTTCAGATAAAAGTCTTGTCAATACTTGTCCACCCCTACCTCTCTCTTCTGGAAACGCCTCATCTGATACATTATCACCGTTTCCCTCCTTACACGCCCGTAAGCAACACCGGTTTCCGACAGCCCTGCCGCAGCACCTTGCAACGCTCAGGTCTTTCCCACTCAGCCCCCTTTGAGCCGGGGAGCAGCTCCCCTTCGCGCAGCCACCTCCTAAACTACCCACCAGCTTGTCTACGACAAGGTACGCGGGTCGCCTCGAGCGGTAACAGCGACCCCAAAAAAAGCCGGTTTGGCGCCAGATGTGCCGGGGAGGAGGGTTGGTACAGCCGGTGTCCGGTTCTCCCGGAGCGTTCCCTGTTTTTTTTCCCGCAGCGGGGAAGGCGAAGTGCATTACGCAAGTGCATTAAACAGCTGCCGCCTATAGACGCAGGATCCGCAGGCAAACATTCAACAACGTCGCCGCTCCGGGAGGTGACAGACCCGCTAAATCCCACCGGCTTTCCCCGGACCTGCCTTAGACTCCTCTCCCTTCCCCAGCAAAGCCCTCCACGCCGAAGATCCGCGCCGCCAACCCCCGGGAGGCGAAGCGGCTGCTGCGGCAGCGGGGGGGCGGGGGCCGGCCCCCCGGCCGGGC